GGGTGGCTACTGGGCCAAGCCCAAGAGCAAGAGAGAGGGGGCGGCTGCTGACTGGGCATCGGCTGACCTGCTCAAGCGGGGCCGACGGCTGAGGTGGCGCCAACGTGGACGTCACGTCGGATGGGGAAGGGAGAGGAGGCCGGGCGGCTCATCGGACGGCTCACGGCGCGTGGCGGGATCCGGCGAACGGCGGCAAGCCGGAGGGGCGGCTAGCACTGGCGGCAGGAGGAGAAGGGGAACTCATTCCACGGCACGGATCAGGAAGACGACGCGCGACAACGGCTGGTGGCGGCAGCCAATCTCGCCGGCACGCCGACGTGGCCGCGCGCGAGAAGAGTGAAGGGCGCGCAGGATCGGGCTTAGCCGAACCGGTATGGGGTTGCGACGCGCACGCGGTGACGCGGGACCCGATGGTCACCGGCGACGCACGCGCGGTGGCGTTATGCGGCGGCTCAAGGGGCGACACGGCGCGGAGGCAAGCCGGGCGACGGCGGTGCTAGGGAATGGTTTGGGGAGGTCCTAGGGAGCTCAAGGACGGTGTTGGCGAGGGTGGTCGACGAGCTGGGGCCCGACGACGGCGCGTGACTGCGCGCGGCGGCGGAAACAGAGCAATGGCGAGGCGCGCGGCACATCGTGCGTCAGGCTATGGCGTGCGGTGGCGGGCGCGGCATAGCGAGCGGTAGGAGGAAAGGATTCGGCGGGGAGCTCACCAACGAGAGGAAACGGCGTCGGCGGATCGGAGGGAGTCGTGGCGAGGTGGTCGCGACGGTAGGACGGCGCGGCACCGAGTGGGCGCGACCGGGGAGGAAGAGAGGAGAGGTGGCGCCCGGAGCTCCTCGTCACGCGCCCACGCACGCACCGGTTCCTCCGGTGCTCGGCGGCGGACGGCGACAACGAGATCGGGTCGAGCGGCAACAGGGCGGCGATGGTTGTTCGGCTGCAATGGCGCGGTGGGGGCGAAAATGAGAGAGATGGAGGGGAGGGGCTCGGCTGTGGTTTTATAGGCGCGGGATGTGGAGCTTCGAGGGGATGGAACCGAGCACGGGCGATCAAGGAGAGGCAGTGGCGGACTCGCGGTCAAGCTGTGACAGAGGCGATCACGGGTGGCAAAGGAGGTGACGGTGGCGCCGGTCGGGGAAAAAGCAAAAAGGGGGAGGGAGAAAGGAGCTCAGCTCCTTGCCGATTTTGGGCGAGCTGAGGGAGGAGAGAGTGCGTGGGAGAGAAAGGTGCTGCCTCCGCGTCTTGGACACATGCGCGCTGCGGCGCAGAGGTGGGGGCGGCGGCAGAGTGGGCGTTGGCGGCTGCGCGGCGCAGGCGGGCCAGGGCGAACGGCGACCGAGGGCGGTCGGCCACCATGGCGGGAGCGCGCGCGGGAACGAGCGAAGGCGGTGGAGGTTTGAGCGATGCCGGTGGGAAATCGACGTTGGCGCGTGAGAGAGAGAAAGCATCAAGAGAGAGAAAGAACGAGAGAGCGAGAGAGCTCTCTCTCGGCTCGGCTCGGCGCGTGCAACGCACGTGCGAGGCTGAGGGAGGAGATGGGCCAAGGAAGGAAGAATCGGCCCAACGACCAAGGGGGAGGCAAATAGACTTTTGCAGAGAGATGATTTGGAAGGGATTTGGATTTGGAATTGAATTTCGAATTTGATTACTTGGACTCAGGGAAACAGGGAGGAGTCAAGGAATGGATTCAAGGTGGACTCGGATATTTGTGGAATCGGGACAAGTATTTGGTGCGGATTCAAAGGAGGCGATTGAATTTCAGGATTTGATTTCGGAAACTTGAATCGGGATTGGAAACTTGAGGTGGAGGATTTTGATGGCGATGAGAGGGAACAACGATGGAGATTGAATTGAGATCCATGGCACGACTTAAACTCTCACTCAAAGAACGAAATTTTTGCGTATAGGATTTTGCCTAATTAGTTTTTAACGTTACGCGAAAAGCGGAGCGTTACAATATAACACTAAATTTGGCCCATTAGGCGTGAGCAGTTTTATCATGTAAAAATCCAGCCCATCCAGGTACAGCCTATATCCATTGATCTAAAACATGTATCCTCCTAATTCCAAATATATATGCTGAGTACTCCTAAGCCCCTAACTAAAACATGTTGTATGTATTGTTAAATTTCAGCTTTGTTTTCACAAAGCCACAGTTGGTTAATGGCTCATATTGGTTGGATTTTAATTAATTGTCCATCACTCATCAAGACACCTAAAATGGCACCAAGCAAAAGAGCTAGATCCATTGCTGCTGTTGAAAATAATATGGATGAATAAATGTTGTATATCGATTGCATATACATGTCATATCCAATTAATTTTTATTCGTTTCCGAGCCGAGTTCTCACCAGCTCCGCACCATTTCCGATATCCCAAACAATTCGCTCCACATCTGTATCCGTATGTTATCTGCACCGGCTCTAAATCTGCTTAAAAAATATAGTATAAAATATGATATGACTACTATCCATCCGAATACGATCCGTTTTTACCACTAATAGTCACTAGGCAAACGCACCGTTCGACGTCATCAGGATTAACTGGGATGCAGAAACTGCGCCCAACTAAATACGGGCCTGGTTAGGCCTTATGGGCTCAACCAACGAGGATGCAGGCCCAAGTAAACATGGGCTGAGCCCAACCCGAGAAATGCCTAGACGCAACACGGCCTCTCCTCTTAAAATACTACACGTCAAAGTCGACGCCGACGTGGGGAGAGGCTTTATACGCACCGTCCGATCAAATCTGCCGGCACCATGGAACGGTTGGATCGGTAGTCGTCCGTCGTCACGTCATCAAGTGTTTGTTCTCTAAGAGCATCTCCAACAGCTACCTAAAAAACATTCTCCAACAGCCTCTTCAACTCACCGGTCAAGCTATTTGGCTGGCCAAACCATCCTCCTCATTGGCTATATTTGGCCACTCTATTTGGCTAGCCAATGGTGGACCCCACATAGCCAATCTCCTCCACCCCCTCCCTCTCTCTCTCGCATTCGTCTCTTTCCCACCCAATTTCGACGGCGAGCTCGAGCACAACGCGAGGAGGCACGGGGAGGAGCACTGCTACGATGCGGCGACGACGACGCCTGCCACGATGACGGCGCTCGCCGCGACAATGGCGCCCGTAGCCCTAAAGGATGGTGGACAACGACGAGACTACCATCCGTGCGCGCATCCTCTCCTATGCGAGTGGCGGCGGCGTACTGCAGCCAGCGGAGGCGGTGCTGCAGCCGCCGTCCTACACCTGCCGCTTCCGCCGGCCTACACCTGCCGCTTCCGCCACCGCCTCCGCTCACGGCAGCCCGCAGCCTCAACTCGCCATAGCCGCCGCCTCCGCTTGCCTCAGTCGCCGGCCTCCGCTCGCCACCACCCACCGCCTCCGCTCGCCGCAGCCCGCCAGCTTTGCGTTGCCTCATCTCACTACAGTCCGCCGCCGCTCACTGCAGCTCGTTGCTTCGCACGCCCGCGGCCTGCCGTCCGCCGTCGCCGCATCGAAGGAGAGGGTGTGGGGAGGAGGCTGTAGTCCAGGAGGAGGAAGGGAGATGTGAGTGGGGAAAATGGGGTGGAAGAGGAGGAAGAAGGGTAGTAGAGTGTTTGGTTTAGTCACACATTGGTAATTGATGATGGGGGAGCACGACTTAAAAGGTGGAGGCGGTCTTCACCTATCAGATTAGTCTTTTGGTTGTGTAGGCCCAGGACCTAAAATTGTGGCTTCGGTTGGGCCTATGGTGAAGCAGATCCAATGTGACCTGGGTGGCCCACGGTTGGTGGACCGGGTTGCGCACTCTAACAAGTGGTATCAGAGCTCAAGGTTTGGAATTCAGAACAATTTCCATGGGTCACATGGTGGGGAGGCCAGGTAACAAGTCTTCGGGGTCACATGGGTTGCATCGGTAATTGATAGTGGGGGAACACGACTTAAAACTCACCAATCAGACTAGTCTTTTGGGTTGTGTAGGCCCAGGACCTAAAGTTTTGGCTCCGGTTGGGCCTGTGGTGAAGCAGGCCCAATGTGACCTGGGTGGCCCACGATTGTTGGGCCGAGCTGCGCACTCTAACACAGAGAGGGTAGATAGAGAAGCTGTTGGAGCAAGCAACGACTTTGACTTGCTAAATCAAATGGATAGCTTGCTATAAAGATGTTTGGAGAGTCTATTTTAGAGAGGCGGTTAAGTCAATGAGCCAATTTCCTCGCACCTGCTCCATCTCCGAGGAAGCAAAGCAAAGCGCAACTAGACAATTCATTTTTTTAAAAAAAGCACGTATAAAAAACTATTTAGATAAATATTATGATAGTATGGAATTATTGGATATATATTAAACTATTATGACATTATAAGGCCAGTCCCAACCCAAGACATTAGACATAGTTTTCATAAACTCCACATCATCAAGAAACTAGTACCAGACACTACTATTTCAATACAAACACTATTGTTCCATATACTTAAATTTAATGCTATTTATCTCACATGATTTCTTGGATGTTGTGTAGAAATCATGTATCATGTAAGACCTGGTTTCCTTCTCTTTCTTCATTTATTTATTTGCCACATCATCTTTCATTCTAGGTGGCACCTTATTTAATGCTATGGGCATCATCTTAGTCATTGGGTTGAGACTGGCTTAAAAAAACTATTATGATATTAAGGGTGTGTTTAGATCTAGGGGTGTAAAGTTTTGACGTGTCATATTGGATATTATATAGGGTGTCGCATGGGGTGTTCGGGCATTATTAAAAAACTAATTACAGAATTTTTCAGTAAATCGTGAGATAAATTTATTAAGCCTAATTAATCCGTCATTAGCAAATGTTTACTGTAGAACCACACTATCAAATCATGGAGCAATTAGGCTCAAAGATTCGTCCCGCAAATTAGTTGTAATCTGTACAATTAGTTATTTTGTAGTATATATTTAATACTTCATGCATGTGTTCAAACGTTCCATGTGACATGGTGTAAATTTTTGGGGTGAGATCAGTATCGTCGTGCCTGTAGCAGTTAAAGCAATTGATATTTGCCTTTATTTGATTAAAGACCTTTATTCATGTTGGGATACTACATCACTACATGCCAGTTTTTATTGGTAGTACTAACTGATCGAACGATCATGCAATAGGATAACAATCCGATGGATCGATCGATCACTCAGCTAGCTAGCTGGCGAAGTTGCGCTGGTTGTAGCAGTCGAGGTTGCTGCCGTAGCCTGCGCCGAGCATGTCGCAGTAGCGCTTGTAGTAGCCGATGCGGTCGACGTTGGCGTCGTTCTGGCCGACGCCGCACTCGATGCCGCCGTTGATGATGTTGGTGATGACGCCATACCCGGGGACGCGGCCGGCGGCGGTGTCCGCCGCCGACGGCGTCCACCGGCCGAGGATGACGTCGTGGCACGACGGCTTGTTCCCCTGCGCCGTCATCCAGAACCAGATGGCCGTCTTGAAGGAGACCACGGCGTCGGTGGACACCAGGTCTGGGTTGCCCACCAGGTCCAGCCCCAGCGCGTTCCCGGCTGCTTGGTAGTTCGATTGCCTAAAAAAAAAACCATTTTATCATATCAGATTTGGGTCTCTGTTTCGTTAGGGTAGGAATTTTACTACTTTCATCCTAAAATAAGTTTATTTTCTACTCATCCAACACGAACCAATATAAAAAAACCCTAACTTCATCAAATGCTAATATAATTATTTCTTCTTTTAGCTACTTTTTGATGTAGACTCAGAGGAAGTATACTGCTAATTAAAGAAGTGGCTAAGTTTAAGAAGAGATGGCATCTGATGATACTCCCTCCATGTTGATAATACTTATCGTTTTGAATAAGGACACGGTCTTAAAAAAATAGCTTTGATAACTATTTTCTATTATAATATATATAGAAATATCAACAAATATATGATTTTATTGAAGTACTTTTTAAGACTAATCTACACATATGGTTTTTTATATTTTTAAGATAAATATTTTAGAAATTATTTATAATCAAAGCTTTTAAAATTTGGTTATACCCTTATTTAAAACGACTAATATTATCAGTCCGGAGGGAGTAACTACGGTGAAGAAGGTACAGGCAACAGATAGGATTGTTGGACCATGAAGAAAAAGATGTAAGAGCTAAAGTAAACTTGCGACCAGGTCGAAATTGGTTTACTTTTGTGGCTCCTACTCCAGTACTTTTCAAGATGATATCTTTCTTTTTTATGTTTTGGATATGACATAGTTGTTTAATTTACTTCTCTCTATTGAAGCAGTGGGAAAAAATATTTCTGCAGTTAATTATAGTTACCCTGTCAATTGAATTGGGCCACGTCCATAGTAGGGTGGAGAAGTCGCCTTGTTTATCTCCTCTTTGAAGCAGTAACCCCACTGGAACTGGTCAGAACTACCCCTCGTTCCACCTGAATTAATTTACCACGGTTAATACTCAGATCAAGATGGTAAAAAAATGGCGGTAAGATTAATCTGCACACTGTAACTAATAATGTACCGGTGGTCTCGTGGGAGGTCTGGCCGAAGAAGGCGGCGAGCTCCCGCCGGATGAGCTCGGCGCTGCCGCCGGAGGTGCCGAACGCCGGGAAGGAGTTGGCGGCGGCGATGAAGGCGTCGTACGTGTAGAAGCCCCTCGCCGGGCACTGCGAGTTGTCGCGGTTGGGCAGCATGCTGTTGAACACCGCCTGCGTGATGACCGACCCGACGCCCTGCGCCGCCGCGCCACTCGCCGCCACGGCGAGCAGCGACGCCGCCGCGCACGCGGCAAGCTGAACAAACCTCGTCGTCGTCGTCGTCATGTCGCCGCTTCACTTGCAGTTGCTTAGCTAAGCTAGCGAGCATTGCAGCGGTATATATAGCTAATAGCTTCTCCAGTGAGCTATGCATGTGGTCAAACTACGCATACATTTCGACTCGTCATTTGGCGCGTGAACCGCGCGGCGATGGATCAACCGCAGGATTAGTAAGTACTTTAGTAGATAAAATCGGCATAAAACATCTCTCACAAAGTCATCGAGTCAAAGAAAAAGGACGATGGATCACTGTCAGATGAGTTGTCGTGCACACAAGTTCATTGACAGGAGAGGAAATTGTTGATTTGTTTCCGTGGCGTTTTGGCGTTTGCACATGAGTTTTCAAAATTTCCATCGTTTCTGTGGATGGTAGTAAGCGAGGCATGGAATTTCCAGGAAGGCAGAGGAATGCGCCGCTCCAGCCAAGCAGGGGAGATGGCATTGGCAGCCGGTTGTGGTAAATTGGGTCAGATTTGCACAGCGACGGTGAGACCCGTTCGTTCAGACACAACCACATTGAAAACCAGCATTAGATCAAACCCAATTGGCATTATTTAATTGGGCCTCCAGCCTACTAAGTACTATGGTCTTCGGCCTTTTAATTCTTAGTAGACAGAGACCTGGTCCATTGCAGCCATTTGATTTCAGGTTTTAGAAGATACTACTTCATCCGTTTCATATGTAAATCTTTCTAACATTGTCCACGTTCATATAGATGTTAAATGAATCTAAATATATATGTGTCTAGATCCATTAACATCTATATGAATATGAGCAATGCTAGAAAGTTTTACATTATAAAACGTTATGAAAAACGTTATGAAACGGAGGGAGTACTATCATACGCACAACTGCTTATAGTAACTGTATGACTTCTTGTCATGCACAACTCTCTGCCGCAGCTTCAAATGTCATTGAACACCATTTTCATGCATGATACAGATGTTAGGAATATAATCATCTTTGAAAAAACTAAATAACCATGTACAAACAAGCAAAATTTTAGAAAAAGAACATATACAAACAAGCCCTTACGGCGTGTCGAAGAACGGCACTGCGATGCACACAAATATGTATTTATATGGGATTGGTGTACTTCCAAACAAATATTTCTGTACATAGGACATGTTTTATTAACTTTACCTACAAGGACCCTTGTGAACAACCAGCAACACTCTTTAGCCACCACAAATGAACTCCCATGCTCTAACTATTCAACAGATGTTATATACATGGGTCCAAAAAAATGCATCTCCTATCGTAGGAAGCCAAACCAAATGGGTTTTCCTTTTTAATCATACGACACGCCGGTAAACATCTTCTCCAAATAGGTCTTCTAACTCCTAACCCCGCAATATACTACAGATAAGTGCCAGCTTCTGGAACGCCGCTTCTCTGAGCCTAAACAAGTTCTTCATGGACCTTTTATGCTCTTTTGCCTCTTCTCTTCTAGCTGTGATGCCTCGTTCAACATGTCCAAAGAGTCACTCTGCATGTTCAGCTTTGAGAGCGCCACTGCCTGCATGTAGAAAGCTGTGGGCCAATCGGGATACACACACTGTGCTTGCATTGCGTCCCTGAGTGCAGCATCAGGTTGGTCACACATAAGGTGGCACAAGCTCCGTCTGGCATATACAGTTGGCGACACCATTGTCCCCACATCAACAAACTGTGAAACAATAACCATGCAGATGTTTCAAGAAGGAAAATGATAACGAGCAGAGGATGAATGAACTACATGAAAAGTGGTAATTTTAGAACATTGAAGGTCTCATGATAAAGAAGAAATAATACAGCCTCCTACCTGAGTGTAACAATCTATGGCTTGCTTGAAATTTTTGTCTCGAAATGCAAAATCACCACGTTTCCTAGCATCCAACATATCTCTCATCTGTTGAGTCCATTCTTGGAAAGATAGCTGCAGAGAGGAGAACAATTTAGACACGTCCCCATAGGAAGAAAACAGTCGAGAGGGACCAGTATCCCAACCAGCTAGAAAAGAGTGGAGCCACAGTGCTCTATATTGTCTTTACCTCATTAGTCCCTTCATCATCTCTGTAATGTGTTGAAACTAGGATCTGATGGATGGCAGTAAGGTCCATCCTGGAACAGGCCTCTCCCATGGGAGAAAGTGGGTGCTGTGGGGCGGGAGGCGCCTTTGGTACTTCTTCAGGCTTTGGAACTCCAAGCATCACATAAGAAGGTACCTGTTTTGTATTTTACATTGTAAACAAGGTTAACCATCAAGGATATATATGTATTTGAAAACTACTTTGTTGCTAAGAACAGCATTAATAAATTATAACATTTTTTTAAAAAATAACCTACATATTTTTGCATACATAAGAATACTGAACACAACTTGATCAATAAAATCAGCTTGTGTAGCAACGCAAGAAAAGCATGAACTGCAGAGATGATGGTATTGTTTGTTCTGTAAATCTGTAGAGTTTTGGGATTTGTTCAAATTGGCTAATAACTGGATTGCTAAAATGTTATTAATTGCATACTACTCTGTGTGCTATTTTATTTGACATCATGCACTAGAAAAAGGTGCACAACTATCATTTCATAAAATATGGCACCATAATACATGATTGCCCAGTCTTAATAATGTATTCCAGACAAATATATCATAGACTCATATTGCAATTTGCAAAATCTACTTATATCCATATCTCCACGACAAACAAAAAATGAGCAAAAGAAGTGTTAATACCTCTGATTTTGTTTGCAAAGGCTGAAGAATGGAAACCAACTTTTTAATATCAGGCCTATCTCTTGGTTCATACTGTAAGCATTTTGAAGCAAGATCCACCAGAGTAGTAGCCTCCTCTATAGAGTACTTTCCCTCTAAATTTGTCTCCATTATTGCTTGGATGCTTCTGCTTCTTATCATGTCAAGTGCCTGCACATGATAAATGCGTAAATTTATCAGACTATCACTGCTTGTACGGTTTAATAAATGGTTAATTGCTAGCTCTATATTTGACACATAAAAGAATTGTACTCATCGCACAAGGAATTCCAACAATTCTCGACTTGTATGAGCTAAAATGCGAGATCCATCTTAGGAAATGTTTTCATTCATTGAAATAGAAAAAATGGATGTCGGATATTTGTGCTAAAAAGACAAGGAAGATAATTGTATAGAAGATTTCAAACAACTTTGTCAGTGTGACCCTGCAATTGATGAAAGTGGCCTGATACACAATGGAAATTGAACTCTAGAAACATACTTACAAGGGTAGGAGGAATGCGCTTTCCACTGAGAAGATCGATGAGTATTGTGCCAAAACTGAATACAACACTTTCTAGTGTGACCCTGCCTGGAAGAACAGACAAGCATCTCATAAATTCTGTGGTTCCTCCTGTTTTATTCTAGTCAGTCCTTGCTACTTTGAAAATGCAAAATTTTCACTGAACATAGTTTCCATCGCATTCACAAAAGTGCCAATAAGTTGGCTTGAAGAGCACTAATTTAGGAATCCATAAGCTGAATAACTGATCTACTGGCCCTTCTACAAGAAAATCCAGTTTGACAACATATTTATTGACTTCCACTTTAAGGAGTTTAGTTATTGTTTTAACAGCAATAAACAAAACTTTGTACAGCAAGGAGATTTTAAAAAATGGTTCCCCCAGATAAGTGAAGAGAACTGCCGAAAAGAGAATACTGGATAATTTGTTTTCAAGACTGGTAAGCAAGAATGTGAAAAATCAAGTACCATTTCTCAGATATTCTGGAGGTGTATATGCCAGGTTTGTACTATAACTTTTCCCATCCCTGCTGTTTTTCATCAAACCAAAGCATGATAGACGAGGATCACCATTCTGCGATAAGAAAGTTAATTAGAAACTTTTCTTACAACATGATGGCATGCTGAATTGTTGAATGCAATCAACTATGATCTTACAAAGCCTACTTGACTCAATACAAGTTTGTCTACGTGATTTGCCGTGCTCCTATAGTAGGAACTAAATTTGCCGTCGGTTTTCCCAATCCTTCCAGCACTTGGAGGTGGGAAAAATCAAAATAGGTGACAAACTTAAACACCCAGACCCTTTAATCTTGTTGGTTTTCTTGAATGATAAGACACAAAATCAAGGCTAGCTGCCATAGTAAATATCACTTTTGAGACGTCAACTAGATATGGCTGCTCTCCTGCCTCCTTCAAAATGAAATTGTAAGTTTTCTGTGAAATTCATGCGTACCAAATGGGGCCTAAGGTATTGCTACAGACACTGAACACCAGCCATAAAGAAAGGCACTTACGTCAACAAAATGGCAGTTGGCAAGAGACAATAATCACTTGCCTGATGTACAATTTCAGGTGCTACATATTGAAACGTACTTGACAGGTTGATCGCTTACCTCATCAAAGAGTACTCTGTATGCATTTAGGTCGTGATATAAAGGCCTTTCCTCATTGCTACAATATTCCAATGCTTCAGCAATGTTGTATGCAACTCTGAGGCGCATAGCCCATTCAATAGCCTTGTTTTCCCCTGCACAAGTGCAAAAGCACGGTTAAGATCAAAATTAACTTGTTTTCCAATGCTTTGCTTGTTTATACGCGTTAACCACTAACAATAAATGCAATCCTTACTTGATAGTACTAAGGCCATTCCCAACCCAAAACACTAGACATGATTTTCATAAACTCCACATCATCAAGAAACTAGTACTAGACACCACTCTTCCAATGCAAACACTATTATTCCATACTTAAATTCAATGCTCCTTATCTCACATGATGTCTTGGATGTTGTGTAGAAACCATGTCTCATGCAAGACATGGTTTCCTTCTCTTTCCTCATTTATTCACTTGCCACATCATTTTTCATTCTAGGTGGCACCTTATTTAATGCTATGGACACCATCCTAATCATTGGGTTGGGAATGGCCTAATACTCCCAAAGATTAGACGAAAAGGTAAATTAAATGCAGACTGAACCGACAAAACTAATCGAAAAAACTGTGTAGCCTGATAGGAGCTGGGCACCTAGGTGGTTCCATTTGTCAAGTATTATCAACTTCAATAACATAAGCTCGGCACAAGCTTGGATCAGATCACACGAAGCATAGCAACATCCATTATGACCAGAAGGGTCGAATAGTTGGCAGGATCATCAAATGGGAGGGGAATATAAAGACCCGGAGTTAAATTGCAGGGGAGTGGAGGGAGGGAGGAAACTCACAGTGGAAGAGGTGCTTGGCGAGGGTGTCGTTGGGCATGAACTCGGCGACGAGGAGCCGCTCGTCGCCGTCGCAGCAGTAGCCGATGAGGTTGGCCATCCTCCGGTGCCGCAGCTTCCCCACCCCTCTCGCCTCCTCCTGCAAACCAAAAACCCACAAAACCAAACTCAGTTTCCAAATCCACGCCTAACCAACCCGAACCCCCCAATCCCGCGGCAACCCAAAATCCACGCGCAAGCGGCTGGTTCGTTGGTTGGTTGTTTGGTTGGATGGATGCATCCCCCCTCCCCGCTTACCGCGAACTGCTTGGGGTCGGGCCATGCCAGCTTGCCGAACTTCTTCACGGCGATGGCGCGGCCGCCGCCTCCCGCCCCCTGCAGCCGCCCCCTGTAGACGAGGTTGGGCGCCTTCTCGCCGCTCTCCGACACGATGTTCGCCGCCGCGAACCCGCCCGTCGCCTCCCGGAGCTCCGCCAGCGAGAACTCCGCGAACGCCGGGGCGGGAGCGGCGGAGGCGGCGGAGGAGGAGGCGGCCGCCTGGTGCGCGTTGAGGGTGAAGGACGGGCGGCGCGGGTGGTGTGGCTGCGGCGGCGGCGGCGGGGGGCGGGCGCGGCGGGGCGGCTTCTCCGGCGCGTGGGACCCCACCCGCAGCGAGGAGCCGCAGCAACCCATACAGTGTGAGGAGAGGAGTTTGGAAAAGTATTCGCTTCGGCCGCGTCGCGTGCGGGGGTGGTGGTGGGTGGGCTGCGTCTGCGCGCTCGTGCGGGTCGGGGAGGAGAGAGAGGAGGAGGAGGCGGGTTTTGTAACTTGCTCTTTCTCTCTCGCTCTCCCTCCTCCGGGTTCTACGGGTTTGGTTTTTGTTTAGTTTTTGCGCATGGGGCTTTCAAACTTTTTGGCGAAATTCAACTGTGAGTCATGTGACCGTGTTTGTACTTTGTAACCCCTGGCTGGCTGACTGGACTGACTCTATAGCTGTGTTCTTACCTCTTGGTCCCAACCTCACCTCTCTCGTCATACACACACGGTGTGTTCCTAAACTGTTAAATGATGCGGGTTTTTTTTCAAAAAAATTTATATACAAAGTTATGGTAAAAAAATCATATTAATTTATTTTTTAATGGTTTAAGCTAATACTTAATTAATCATATATTAATCCATCAATTTATTTTACATGCGAAAGAGAGGGGTTCCCAACCCATCCAAAATACTCAACCTATGTATGGCCACACTCTTCTCTGGCACAGGCTAGAATGTGATAAAGGAGTAGTATTGTTTTTCGATGGTTTAGAGGAGAGATTGACGATGGTGGTTGGCGAGGGCGATCAATAGTCACAAGTTGAGGGTTCGTCACCGAGTACGAGAAAAAGGCATGATACAAAGAATGTGCAAAGATTTGGTTAGACTGTGCTAGAGTTGTGGCAGGAGGGGTAGGATAACAAATGAAGTACTTCTATTATGGTTAGATACGATAGATGCCACCGATGTCGTGAAAAGGATGGGTTGCCTAATAGGGTGGTGTTGAGGGGGAAATATAGGGAGAGAATAATAGGGGTTAGTGAAGAGGGGATGCAAGGTGAAGTATGTCTTATCCAATATGGCTAATGCCGTCTCAAAACTAAGTGTTGTACATTACATTAAATTTGATGATTAGAACCCCCACACATATCTAATGGCTTTTCATCCCGACACATACCTAATATTTTAAATTTATCAATAAATGCACTTAATGCATTTTGTCTTACCATCTTAGGTTGCTAATTGTGTGGCTATCACTTTCATACCATGTCAATCTAGCTAATAGCTACCTATAATGCTAGATAATTCCATTTTTACACAAGTCATATTGGGTGATAATAATTGGTGTTCCATATATGTCTTTTTAGATACTAGTATGTTCTTATCGATGTCTTGTCTGTACGTTGGATCTGAATCATGTGTTTAGTAAGACATTATAAGCGATAATATAAGGTAGTTATATAATTGCTCAGTATAGAATACTCAACTAGGGTGTGTTTAGTTTACATCAAAATTAGAAGTTTGGTTGAAATTGGAACGATGTGACAGAAAAGTTGGAAGTTTGTGTATATAGGAAAGTTTTGATGTGATGGAAAAGTTGAAAGTTTGAAGAAATATTTTGGAACTAAACACGGCGTAAAGCATTGGCTACACGGCTATACCTACATCTGAATTGATCCATTCTTGTGCTTTATTTTAGTACTACTTGACTCATCTGTTGCTTTGAATGTGAAGAATGAAGAGTGACCCTTGACACGTTCAAGTCAACAAGGGCTAGAAATTGAACGGATGAACCGTCTGCCACGCAAAAGCATTTCACTCAACTAATATGCGCGTAGCTCTAGATTATGTGCTGCACGCGGATGTGTACTTTGCCTTGTAATTATGGGTGTTGCATGGCTATGTTGCAAAAACCAGCAGGTATCAAATTAAATACAATTTACACATGGCAGAGGTAGTATGCAGAAATTTGTAGAAGTCGGAGCAAGTTTTGTAAAGGGGTAGTTTCCACATCCAATTTTATATCCATGTAAGATAAGATGTGATATATGCAATATATGCAATATAAGATGTGATATATGCAATATATCACATCTACATTATCTTTAGCATACTATCCCCAATAATTTTATTTTATTTGTTTGTCCAATCTCCTCTTTCTTTTATCTTCTTTTTTGAAATTTGTGTGAAGGTTGTCTCTTACATGAGGTAGTGGCGGAGCCAGAATATGCTTAGAGTAGGACTAAATTAGTATTATCTACATAAATTTGTGTCAGGGTTACGGATAAGGTATATCCTCTACCCTTGGATATACGTCGTATACTGATATGATATGCCTGCGTGTATACGGATATTTTCTGTATACGTTAAGGAAATTCATCACGATTCCACAGATGGAAGGAGTCCTACTCAGATAGAACTGGGTCGTTACTGTATCATGTAGGGTCCGATGTCTTCGAGTTCTACTTGGAGACCAACTGACCTGCGGTATAAAAGGGACCCCCCGGGAGGACCTAAGGCATCGAATCTCACCGCCAACACAACCACCATAGCCTACGAAGTCGGAGCCTTCAGGAGTCAAAGTCGCCGAGGTGATCGGGTCGAATCAACTCGACTACGGTTTCGTCGGTATCATCGAGTTCTGCTATTCCCTTTGTAATCTGTGGTTTTCACTATATAATCTCATATCAACTGGATTATGGGTATTACCTATCAAGGGGTCTAAACCAGTATAATCCTTGTTTTCTGTTTACTTGATGTCGTACTACGTAGATCCTCATACCAGCGTACCCCAATATCCTCTATATCCGGTCTACGGGTATCCCCCGTCGACAATTTGTCTCTTGTCTTTAATTTTTCAAATTTATAGTATAATTTCAATTTATATTTGGGCATAGGAGTAGGATTCTAGCCCTAGCTGTCCTACTCCTATATCCGCCCCTTAGCATGAGGGGTGTCTTCCCTTCTCTTTCTTCACTTATTTTCTCCATCTCATAATCTAATCGTATGTAATATATTTAGAAACAATACATCCAACATTATTATAGTACTTGCTCTCATTGGTTGTCGTTTTGGATACATCTCTCCTTAATTACGTCGTACGTACTACTAAGTCCATTGATCGAAACAAACAAACGAGCACGTTGCATAAGCATCACCTAAGGTAAAAAGAGAACGTTGTACGGAGCACCATCATCAAGTACTGTACCTTCCAATATAAACAAGGCAAACATCGTTGGCGACACGGAGCACGTCGGCGACGATGGTGACGACGGCGAAGACGACACACCGACGTGCACGCGTACAACAAATTTCCACTGTTCTCATGGTAAAGAAATTGTACTACCACCACCCTACCTGTTATGCCCTGAAATAAATTCATTTGTTAATTGTTATCTACCCTACTCATACCACTAAAACCTACTTTATCAAACTCAAATATAATTATTTATTTTTTATCTGCTTTTAATATATTATTCTTTTACTTTTATAAACTCTGATATCGTGATTGGTAAAAAAAACTTATTTTAAGATAAATAAAGGAGACAAAAATAATAGTATTGTTTTAAGATATATAAATACTCCGTAATAGTCTAATACTTACTCCCTCAATCTCAATTTAAATGCAATCATATTTTTCCGTGTCTAATTTTGATTATCCGTCTTCACTGCTGCCACGTTGAAGTCCTGGATGTCACTACTCTTGGTTAACTTCTTAAAAATTGGTTAACTGCTGCCACGTTGGACCTGCCGCCACTGCGTGTGGTCCCGGGCACAGGCTCGCACGCACGATGACACGGCAACTGCACGCTCGTGCGCGCGCTTCGTGTGACGCAACGTACGTACGGTGCAGGCGCTGGGACACTGCACGTGGGTCCCACGTACTGCTGGCCCCACGTGCCAGTGTGACAGAGCAGACGGCAATGATTGACTGATGGACAGATTACTGACAGATTTCACAGTCCGTGTGCACGGCGTGCGACGGTGAAATGACCCATCGTACCGTACGTGCGCGACCCTGCACATGGGGCCCACATCTCAGCCGGATCGATCTAATTTACGACCTGTTTAGATCACATGTAGTTTTCCCACATGTCAGATCCAACACATGCATAAAGTATTAAATATAGAAAAAATTGTAATTATAAGTTGTGAGATGAATCTTTTAAGCCTAATTACTTCATGATTCGATAAGGTGGTACTACAATAAACATTTGCTTATGACGGATTAATTAGGCTTAATAAATTCGTCTCATAGTTTACATGTGGAATCTACAATTTGTTTTGTTATTAGTCTACGTTTAATATTTTAAATGTGTGTCTGAATATCTGGTGTGACACGATAAAAATTTTCACCGCTGGATCTAAACAGTAAACACAACCTTAATTTAGATCTTAGCCCTGTATAGTTCACACCAAACTTCCTCCAAACTCCTAACTTTCCATCACATCACATCACATCCAAAACTTTCCTACTCATATAAACTCCCAACTTTTTTTCCAAACTACTTCCTCCGTTTCACAATATAAATCATTCTAGCATTTTCCGCATTCATATTGATGTTAATGAATCTAGATAGATATATATGTCTAGATTTATTAATATCAATATGAATATAGGAAATGATAGAATGACTTACATTGTGAAACGGAGAAAGTACCAACTTTTCCCAAACTTCTCCTCAATTTCAGGAACTAAACATAGCCCTTATGTGGGGAGCGTATGATGTGGACGTGCCCTTTCCAGAATTCCAAGTTTGGTACAGTATACTATGGCCTTGTTTAGATTCAAACTTTTTTATTCGAACTTCCAACTTTTCCGACACATCGAACTTTCCTAAACACACAAAAACTTTCAACTTTTCCGTCACATCGTTCCAATTTCTTCAAACTTCCAATTTTGACGTGGAACTAAACAAAGCCTAGATACAACTAGAGTAACAAAACTAGAGTAACAAGTACTCCGTCCCAAAAAAAAACTCAATCCAGGTTTAAACCCAGAATTAGGCTTTTCTAAAGATGGAGGGAGTATGTTCACATTTATAGTATATAAGTTATATTTTTTATTAGATTTATTTTTTATGAGACTTAGTGAGTATATAACACATAAGATTGTTTTTTTACTTCTATTACATGGCATACGTATATGCGCACGCGCGTATAAACTACTACACACGTGCTTCCTAGTACATGAAGATTTGACCCTTGGTGGGTCCTCCTTGGTGTCTTAATGGAACAAATCACATATTAGGTAGCAATATTTTAGGATAGATGATGTATCTATACAATACAAGAAGTCAAAGAATGCTAGGTTCTTTTATCCAACCGCAAACATAGCTCAAGTCCTTTTAAATCACTTGTAAATAATTACTTGTAGTATTCTAACCACCGGGAGAAAAAAAAAGCACCATCCTATTAGCTAGATAGATCATCTCTTTTGGTGGAAAAGCAAGATAATTGCTGGGCACCGCAGATCCCAGATGGATAATGGAGCACGAGCCCACCGGAACACACTTGTATTTAAAAACCGTCCTTTTCTTGGTGGTTGATTGGTGATTTGGTGCCAATGGTTGGCACCTGCTGGTAGCTGTGGATGAACTCGCCGTGGCGGCGCCACCTGCTGCAAGATTTTCTTAAAAAAATATTTATTGTTTTCGAGTTTTACAGATCTGTACCCCCTAATGTCACCTGCCAGTTAGAGTGGGTCGACGACCGTTTGCCAGGTTATTGAAAAAAAAAGAAGATAATCCATTATATGCCACTGATTTTGTCACACGTCTATAATTTACTATTGATTTTGTCGTGTTCTATAATATACCATCGACTTTTACTTAACTTCTACGATTTACCATTGCCATCCGGTTAGTCTCCGTTAGTACTGTACAATTTTGTCGAAATGATCTAAATACCTTTGGGACAAAAACTTTCAAAATTTGGATAAAAATTCTGAAATACCAGATTTTAAGTTTTTGACCAAATTCTGGATGTTTACAATCTTATATTTATAATATAATATTTTGATAATTTTATCCAAATTTTGGATGTTTTTGTCCAAGGGTATTTTGGTCATTTGCATAAAATTGTACAGTGCTAACGGAGGCTAACCGGACGGTGATGGTAAATCATAGAAGTTAAGCAAAAGTCGATGGCATATTGTAACATGGCAAAGTCAGTGGCAAATCGTAGGCGTGTGACAAAGTCAATGGCATATAATGAATTCTCTAAAAAAAAAAAAAGCCCCTACAATACCAAATATCATTAGGGGTATAGAATTATAGATACGCAAGACAAAAAAAACATTATAAATATTAAAAATAAATAAATAAATAAAATACTCTGCTACAACTGCAGCGAGCACTAAGCACCCGGCCCAAATAGCAGGATTGGGCTTTCACAATATAGCCCGGCTCACCACACTTTGGGCCTGCTTGGAATGGTTGGTTGGTCGGGAATGAGAATCTTTTGAGATGGGGTTGCTTGGGAGCTGGGACGCGTGAACCCCACAACGCGTGTGCCGTTGCATCCAATCTCCCGTATATGCCGTTCACAAGTTCGAGCTGGTTGCCCTAATAAGTTAAAGTTAAAATCGAAATTTAAATTTTCGATGTTGATTTTAAGATATTTTCAATGTGTTTTTAAATATTAGCTTTTATGTCGCTAAAAATACACATATAAATTAATTTTTATTTTTAAATAAATTGTCTTGATTTATTAGAGAATATGGTAACTGATGAGGCCTTGACGAGGAAGGCAGCGGCAGCATCACGAGATCAGCTCGTGTCCAACCGACCGCGATGCGTCTCCCGCGTGTACGCATATTGCGGCGTCGTTGATCACGTGCCAATTTGCCCAAACGCGCGCATCTAAGGTGGGCTCAAACACCAAAAAGGCTAGCGACATGCATTATCTGGGCCCATCCATCCAATCTCCTTCATCTCCTGGGCCCAAATTGCCACAAAGCGATCGATCATGAATTATTCCAGTGGTTCTCCCTTTCGCATCTTTTCCTCCCCTTTTCTATCGTCCTTTTTTTTTTCTCCTAGTAGCAAGAGATTGGATAACAAAAAAAAAGCTTTATTAACAAAACAAAAGTTGCCTAAAAAACACTTGATAATTCCAAGGTTGCAAAGACGAAAAAGAAATCGTCCGTGATGTGCATGCGAGCGATCGACGAGAGATTCTCCTTTTGGTAGCTACTCCCATCGTGCTCGCGCGCGTCTTAAACAAAAGAAGCTTTTCCACTACTCACAAATATACTAAATCCGCACGAGCTGTCACACGCAAGTGGTCTCATCACATCAGTCTCGTCTCCGATTAAAATGATTTGAATTCTGTCCTAACAAATCTAAGACTAATATCATCCTCGTCGTGATCTCCTAAGTTGAAATACTATTAAGCACGCGGTGTTTGGATCCCATCCCCATGTGCAAACCGCAAGATCCAGGCCAAAATCATAGAGCAAGCAAAAGGAGGTGCCCTACCCAACCAACCCAATTATGCATGTGCCATTAGATTAGATTCAGTATTTTCAGTATACTCTGGATTTCAGAGACTTTCAGATGGTACCAGAATTCCAGAAGATTGGGGGGTCCTTCTCTTTTGCATTATGGATTGCATCCGTCCAAAGCTGACTTGGATTGCAACATTCTAGCTAGCCAGCCAGCCAGCAAGGCTGTGTTTAGTTCACACAAAAATTGGAAGTTTGGTTGAAATTGGAACGATAAGACGGAAAAGTTGGAAGTTTATGTGTGCAGGAAAGTTTTGATGTGATGGAAAAGTTTGAAGTTTGAAGAATTATTTTGGAACTAAACATGGTGCAAGTGATGGATCCATATGATTGAATCTGCATATCATCTCTCTCTCTCTCTCTCTCTCTCTCCATTATTTGAGTGAGGCTACATTGATCTCCTCTTCATGTGATCTGGTGGCAATGAAATCCGGGCCAATCACACCGGCGATCGATGTGTTGCAGCAGAGACTACTGTACCGGAGTTGTTCAGGCTCAGGACGGCCATGGCTGCACTGACCCTACTCTACTTGTGAAAAAAGTGATGTGCCACTTTTCTTGTTAAGTTTGGTGTTCAAAACGAGACTGTTGCTATGTTGCTTTCGCCTTTTCAATTAGTACGGTAATCTCTGTGGCAAAAAAACGGCTTAATTATTCAGTTGATCTGATGCATGGCCAGATGGCCCGGATGACTGTCAGTTGAGTTGTCTGAATTCAGAAACCAATGTGCAGATGTTTTGTTTATACTAATAATGTAGGAGTATGTGTGAATGTTACAGTTGGATGCATGGTCAGTGTGGATGAGGATTTGCCATAGGTTCAGAAACCGGTGTCAGTTCACGATCAGAGGATCATCTTGACTTGAGAACCAAGCTGGCAACTTGGCAATGTTGGGCAATGGAATGTGAGGTTAGGCTGAAATGGCTGGCCGGATAAACGTCAACTTCAGTACAGGGAGAAGTTGGCGATGGCACCACTGGAAAAGGGTTTGGTCACTGATCACTCCAGCGTGGCACATTAACTGCACAGATACAACTCCATGTGGTGCCAAACCGACCCTAGCCCTAGATTGATGCCCAATCTACTCATTAAACATCTCCCTTTGCAATGAATGCGTCTTGAATTGTTGATTCAGCCCTGTGACCTTTTTTAATTTTCTGAAAAGGAAAAATTGTTGATACAACACTGTTCCCATGCATGCAAATGAGAAAGAGATAGCTGAATGCCTGAATTGAAATAGTAACATTGTTCACTTCTCAATCTAGCAGAGTAGAATTAATACAATGTTCACCTGTTCAAATAGAAAAAAAAATAAGAGGAAAGAAAAAAAAAAGCAAGCCCATTGAGCAATCTTGCAGAGGCAAATAGGCAATGCAGAGAGAAGGGATGAAAGATGCGAAATTTGACATGTTTTTGAACCTAAGTGGGGGATCATCTTCTTTACATCACAAAAGTATTTACATCATGTACACACGCCAAACGAAACAAAATGAAATCTTTTGGCAACTAATCTCACAGCCTTTGCTCAAAAAATCAGTTGATCTCTCTGAAGAAGATGAACACAGGGGATCGAATCGAAGAGAAATGTGTGGGGATTGTGGAGTCAAAATGTGGGCGTGAGCAGGTTGAGCAGCGACACCCTGGCATTGACGAGCGCGCGGTACACCTCCTCGCAGCCGCTCTCGGCGGCGGCGACGCACTCCTCGAGGCCACGCACCCTCGCCATGGCCGCCTTCCTCTCCTCCTCCTCCTCGTTGCAGTAGTCCTCGAAGGAGACGGTCCGCCGCCGCCGGAGGAGGTCGGTCACCAGCCACATGGGGCTGGCCGGCGTGCGGGCGGGGGAGTAGGGCGTCGGTGTCCGTGGCGACGGCGCGGCGCTCGCCGCGGACTCGGCGGAGGCGGACGACACGCCGGCGAAGACGGCGGCGGCCGCGGCCGCCACGGAGGAGGCGGCGGCCGCGAAGGCGTCGGCGAGGGTGGCCTCGTCGGCGTCGTCTCCCGGGGCGGCACGGTGGGAGAGGTCGCGCGCGGAGGAGGCGAGCCGGGAGACCTCCCGCGCCGAGCGCCGCTGCGCGCGCAGCGCCGCGGCGAGGCGCGACCCGTCGCGGCGCCGGAGCGCGGCGTGGGTCTCGGCGAGGAGCTGCCTGAGCGCGACGAGCGACTCCCTGAAGCAGCCGTGGAGGTCGGTGAGGAGGAGGAGGTCGTCGAGCAGCTGCTCCGTCCACGGCCGCCGCAGCGCGTCCTGCGCCTGCGGGTGGTGGAGCAGGTCGGCGAGCCCGGCGAGCACCTTCCCCGCCCTGTCCGCCCCGTCCGCCACCCAGGCCGGCCCCGTCTGCGCCGGTGCGTCCGCCCACTTGAGCAGCGCCCTCGCCGCGTCGTGCAGGCCGGCGACGAGCGGGTGGAGGCGGACGGGCAGGCTCGTCGACCTGACGCGCGCGTAGGACAGCTTCTTGGGCCGCGCGCAGTCGAGCAGGAACGACGGCGCCACCGCCTTGTGCGACGTGAGCGTCGACAGCGTCCGCCGGAATCCCACCGCCATCGATCGAGAAGCTTCTCTCTTCTTGTGTGTTCGGTGATGATGCTGCGGTGGTGGTGAGGTGACTGGATGCGGTGGCGGGAGGTGGAGTTTTATAAAGGGGCGGGAGGCGGAGCCCGCACGGGTGGGTGCGTGAGCTGAGCTCGTGCAGTGGAACACGTTTGACTCTTGCACTGCAGTGGCTTGCTGCTGCAGCTGAGCTCTACTAGTATAAAATTACTAGTACTACTCCCTTGTATTTTAAGTACATTTATACATTTAACTATTTATCTTATTTAAAAAATTCAGACACGCATAAAGTATTATTTGTGTTTTATTATCTAATAATAATAATAAATATTAATTATAAAATAATTTTAAATAAGACGAACGGTGAAACGTTGGACACTAAAACTCACGATTATAAGATAGAGGGACTATTTCTTTTTCTTTTTTCTATGGGAGAGTATGCGAACGAGCCGCTGGGGTTTGTTGGCTTGAGGCGGAAGAAAGATGCTTGCAAGAGGAGACAGCTTGTTGGAGAAGCTAGATTCTTCTGGGGCTAGCCGGAAAGGGATTGGAGGAGGAAAATAAACCGAGCAATGTGAAGTTGCTGGCTGTTCATGTTGAGGGTAGGGGTTGTTTCCAGCAAGAGAGAATGTTTTGTGCAGTTCGACAACTTGGAAAGAATACGAATACGATGATGTACATATGAATCTAGCTCATATACTGCCAAAAATTGGTATAAATGATTAAATGAATAGTAGTAGTCATCAGTGAGGAAATCAATAAACACTTATAGATGCCGATTTGTTAGAAAAAAATATAAAAAAATTAGAGGATTTTAATTATATAGGAAAAAAATCCTAGGAGGCTAAGCAAGCATCCATTGGGAGTTATGATCGCAGGGATGCACGCCATTAGGGCATCCACAATGTAGTGTAAAAGTAGTCCATAAGCAATAGAATATTCCATTCAGCCACCTATTACCATTGTGCAACTAGTGCATATATAGAAAATAGTAAAAGATATCCACATGCATATGGACTACCTATATGGAATAAATTATACTCCCCCGTTTCGAAATATGTTGACACCATTGACTTTTTAGCACATGTTTGACCGTTCGTCTTATTCAAAAAATTTAAGCAATTATTAATTCTTTTCCTATCATTTGATTCGTTGTTAAATATATTTTTATGTAGGCATATAATTTTACATATTTCACAAAATTTTTGAATAAGACGAATGGTCAAACATGTGCTAAAAAGTCAACAGTGTCAAACATTTCGAAACGGAGGGAGTATTATCTATCTCTACTCCTCTCTCTTGTCCTAATGATACCTTGTATCCATGTACATTGTGGAGATTGCTATAGGAAAAAACTATTTATGTGGGTCCTATCTATATAGATCACTTTACCCATATATATTGATGATGCCCTTAGTATTTAGTAGGCTAGTAGCACTTCCCATTCTTCCTCAGTTGAAGCTCAACCGAAATTTGATCTTTTTTAAAAAAAAAATGAAAACCAACCGAAAGTTTGGTGACTCACGCATAGGAGTACAGTCCCCATATGAACGAACATACCATCATCAAGACATCAATCCATCCAATCATATATCGATCAATCAATCACAGAGCACGAGCCAACGCAAAAACGGCAATCGATCCAATGCAAAGATCCGATCGCTCCACCATCCTGGCACTGCACCGCGAGTAATGTCGCGCGCGCCCATGGTCCATGGACAACGGCCCCCTCCTCCCTCCGAGCCTGACGCGTGGTGCTCTCTCTCTGCTCCCACCCGCCCGGTACGCGCGTGTAGGGGACACCGCGCCGCGCGCCCGCGCGCCCCACCGTCCCCGCCTCCGCCCGCCGGCAACGCGCCGCGCGCCCGCTCCCACCACCGCGCGTACACCGATCGATCACCGATGGCGATATGCATGGGACGCGCGTGCATGCATTGCACCGCGCGGCGGCAGATCGAGTTTTCAATGCGTCGCGCGTCCGCGTGACTGCGCCCGCCCGGGCCGCTGCTTCATCTGTTGTACTAGTACACTGTGTGGGCGCGCGGTTGTGATCGACTTGTGAGCGCGTGCCGGTGCGCTAGCTGCCGTACGGCGATGGATCCATCCATCCATCGATCCGCACCCGCCCGCGCGCGGCTCGCCGATTTCTCCACGTGTAGTATGCACGTAGTACGGGTACATGCATGAACCGGCGGAGTTTGGGCAGGGGCCTGGTTGCGTTCATGTGACGAACAGACATGCATTCCGAAGGATGGATGGATCATGGATTGGGGCGGGGCGGGCAGGTTTCTTCAATGCGTGCAATAACTGATCGGTGAGTTATATGGTCCTCTAGGAGGAATTTGGATTGATCGGTCCTCTGGGTTTGACAAGGAGTCAAACAGCTACTAGCAGCCTGCTCTTATAATTTCCCTTCTAGAAGCTCTATTGGCTTTCATCGAGGAGTACGGAGACGGTGAGACTGGGCCTGTTGGAAGATAAGCCCAGGACTAATTTTGAGAGCTAAGAGCATCTCTAACAGTCTCTTCAAATCCCACTCTCCAAATGTCTATTTAGCCAACTCTCCATTTAATTTGGCAAGTCAAATTCGTTTTTACTCCAACAGCCTCTCCATTCATCATCTCTATTCTGAGTGTATGATAGCGGGACCCATATGTCAGTCTCTATACTTTTTTTTTCTAATTATCCTGTCCCGGCCGCGCGCGGGCAGGCGGCCGGCGGCGGCCACGGCTGCGCGCGGGCAGGCGGCGGCCGGGCGCCGGCTCGGTTTTTTTTATATATAATTTGTGTTTCACTGGATGTATAATTTTTTAGATTTTGTGATTCATTGCATCGCATGGATCTAAGATGTATAATTTGTATAATCTGTGATGTATTTAATTTGTGTGTAGTTTTTAGGATTTGTGATGTTGTTGATCTGTGTGTAGGATTTGTGATGTATTTGACTTGTGTGTATAAGTAACTTAATATTTGGGATGTTGATTTGGGATGTGCATCTCATTCGATTCGGGAGAAAATACATATATTAACACTAGCCATTAGCAAATCAACAACAAAATAATAATAAAAAAAAGATCTCGATGAACTGTCGCTTCCCCTCAACCGGGACTAAAGATCGATCTTTAGTCCCAGTTATTATAACCGGGACTAAAGATAGCGATCTTTAGTCCCAGATTCGTAGTCTCGGTTGGAAAACCGGGACTACAAAGAGTTCTAAACCGGGAGTAAAGAGCATTTCTCCACCAGTGCGGGGACCGCCGCCGCGACGACGGGGTGGCGGCGGTCGGGCGCGACGACGACGGGGCGGCGGTGGTCGGGCACGGTGACGACGGGGTGGCGGTTGGCCGGGCAGCGGCCTTCGTGCGCGGCGACGGCGAGGCGGCGGCGGCCGCGCGCGGCGATGACGGGGCGGCGGCGGTCAGGCGCGACGACAACGGGCGGTGGTGGTTGGGTGCGACGACGACGGAGCTGGAGGGAGAAGAGTAGCACGGGTAGAGGAGGGCTGGAGATGGGATAGCCAGCCTAGGAGGCTGGCCAATATTGGCCAGTGGGTGGGCTTGGATGGAGATGCAGTTAGCTTGGAGAGTTGAATAGAGAGTCTGTTGGAGGAGTGTTTTTGGTTCATTTGCCAAATTTTTAGCTTGGAGAGCTGAGTAGAGAAGCTGTTGGAGATGCTCTAATGTTTAGTCTTGAATTGGTAGGATAAACACTAGTCTAGGGTGACATGTTCAGATCTATGGGCTAATTCAAGGCTAAAATGTGGAGAGAGTAGAGAGAGGAGAGAGAGGGAGATAGAGGTGCTTTTTGATATTTTTCCATGGGCTAATTCAGCTACTAGCACTCTAGCAGCCTGCTCTTCTTATATTTTTCCCTTCTAGAAGCTCTATTGGCTTTCATCGAGGAGCACTGAGACGGTGAGACTGTCTATTGTTTCTATACCTGTGGCTGGCATCCGTCATTGCTGTCGCTTAAAGGCCAACGGATTAATTAATTAATTAATTATAGTAAGACACCCATGGTCAAAACCGGGCAGGCAGATTAAACTCGCGGATCGATCGACGTACGTAAGCCATTTGCTCGCACTACTATGGTTTTTGCTGCTATGTTTGACGGCTGTTTCGAATTAATTTGACGGGTAGTAAATAAAACATTTGACAAACCAAGCGAGCCGCTAGGAGTATCATCAGCTAAGCTACTACTACTACGAACTAATCGGTCACGGAAAGCAGCGTTTGCAGTGACGTTTGCTACAGCCGATCTCGCTACTTAGGTAAATCAATGACAGGGTCATCGTCCCAGGATATGTCCCAATCAGGCTACACATCATGGATGAAAGCTACAACTACGAGAGGAGACAGGAGAGAAATATAGTATACCGGATCTTCCGGCGTGCACCCCAGGTAGTCTCCAGTCCAAATCAGTTCATTAACATGCATGATAACATCCAGACACGTACTGCTATATATGCATCACCCGATCAATATTCGAATCAATTAATTATCACCGATTGTCCTATTTTACGCACATGATGACGTCACGGATTATTTGATACTCCTACTCCTTTAAAACTACTTCCTGTTACCCTGATCAATTGATAGATCAGCACGTACGTTAACACATCAAGTGGTTGAGTGGTCGATTGACGTTGGTTAATTTCTCTGACGAAAGCAGCGTACTACATACATTCACATCTTTCTTCTTCGATCGGGTCACGGGCGCCATTACAGGTGTAGAGACTTTCTCGTGCTGAAAGAAGAAGAAGAAGAAGAAGAGTTCCTTCCTACTTGTACACCATGTCTCGCGGACGTATGCACGCATGTCATCGGCGGTGCCAACCGTACTCCAGCACCAACGCTAGCTACGTGCCAAGTGTGTATTATAAACTTTATCCGTCCTAAAATGTAGACTTTGTTTTAGGTTGACACCGATATTAAGAAAGCATTATCTCCATATTTAATGTATGACGCCGTTGACTTTTTATCCAACGTTTGACCATTTGTCTTATTTAAAAAATTTATGTAATTATCATTTATTTCATTGTGACTTAATTCATCATCAAATGTTCTTTAAGCATGACATAAATATTTTCATATTTGCACAAAAAAATTGAATAAAACGAATGGTCAAACGTTGGTAAAAAAGTCAACGGCGACATACATTAAAATACGGAGGGAGTAGATGAAAATAATTGAATAAAGTATGTTATTAGTTAAAAAGAGAAAACAGGTGAAGAAGAATTAATGTTTGTGATTGATTGAAAAGAGTATGTAGCTGAAAAAAATAGTTTTATTTTAAAATAAGATACTGTGGGTGTGTTTAGTTCACGTAAAAATTGAAAGTTTGATTAAAATTGGAACAATGTGATGGAAAAATTGAAAGTTTGTGTGTGTAGGAAAGTTTCGATGTGATGGAAAAGTTAGAAGTTTGAAGAAAAAATTGTGAACTAAACCAGATCTGTGTTAAAAATAGTTATATTTTGATAGGGAGGTAGTATAGCGTATCAGCCGGATGCTGACATTCAATACAGGATGCTGATCACCCTAGCTTATACCGATTGAGAGATATTGTTTGAGATTTCTGTACTATACGTACACTACTCACGTCGTCGGTCGAGCCGAGTCAATCTCTGCTTCACGGGAACCAGCTGCCTCTCTTCTGTAGGAGTAGCTGACAAAGCAACGGTCACGCGGTCTACTGTCCGATCGACTGACTGGCTGTCCGAGACCGAGGGCATGCAAGAGGTCAGCGCCATTAATGTGAGATAGATATATGGTCAACGCACCGGCTCCAATCCCACGCAGCCGATCGATCACGTTCTGGTGGGTGGCCAGGTAGCGTTCCATCAACTGGTGTAGTAAGGCGGAGTAATTGCGTTTGGGAGTACGTTTTTCTACCTACCAACTGCAAATGGGCTGCACAACTGCAAGTGGTCGGGTGACACGGCCAGGTAGAGAAGGAATAAGTTTTCTTTAGGTCCCTCATCTAAACTTCGAGTATAAATTACATCCTTGAAGCATAATACTAGATATAATGTGTCCCTCAACTTATAGAACCGGTATTCCTAAGATATAACGTGTTCCTACTTGTACAACATCTCGTGAATGTACATATGCATGCATATCCACCGGCGGTGCCGACTGTACTCCAACACGAACGCTACGTGCCAAGTGTGTTTCATACGTTGACCTTTACACCGAGAGAGATGCCAGATTTCTGTGCGTCGTCGGTGAGTCGGTCGAGTAGAGCCGAGTCTATCTAATGACTACCGTAATACTCTCTATCACTAGCTAAAGACATGTGTTGCAAAAATCAGATAACAATTCTAGAGTTATTCACATGTGGAGACTTCACGGCCATATACATTAGCTTGTGGTGTGGAGACAGACTCGGACACCACCACTAACATCATTTAAAGTAGTATAGATGAAAGATGATGATGGCAGAGTAAATCCTTCCTCCCCTACCCCCCCCCCCTTTCCCCAAAAATTATGGCAGAGGTGGCCGGAGGAGGGGTCGGGCCTCCTTCCCTTTTAAGTATAGTATAGGTTTAGGTTAGAGTTACTCCGTAGTCAGGTCCTCCTGTTGCTCGGGTTATATCCCGTTTTCTCTATTCTTTTGGAGTCCAAGCTGCCCCATGGTGGCTAGTGGCTGAGACGCAGGCGACAAGTATTGGATGGTGGCGATGTCCTAGTGCCTCAGCAACTCTAAATCGAATCCACTAGATGGTGCTCAAAATCGACTGGTGTGGGTGCACCGGGTTGTCCTCCCATGCCCCGGTCACATGTCATCTCCTTCGCTAGGTTCTGCTGGGTTGTAGCAAGGTAATAGTTCTATCGCCACTGTCCTAATTGACTCATGATTAAGGCTAGTTGGGCTTTAGGGGTTTCTCCTAATTTTAATCTACAACTGTAGCCAATGCTAAGTGCTTCGTCCAGGTTGAGTGCAAAACCTCCTGTACGATTCTTATCGACAGGTTTTCAATTAGCGCTCCTCATATTTAACGAAGAACTCCTTAGCAATCGATGTTGAGTTCGGTGAAGCTGAAGCAAAATCTACGACTCACATATCAATCCCGAATCGTGTTGTTCCCGTAGAGGCAGTCGAAAGGGTCATCGATCTGTCAAGCGGAATGCACGTTATTAGTAGAGTCTTGTGGATACAATCCTAGAGCAATATCATAGTCTCTTGTCGATCACATCTATTACTGTTGTTCGGTTTATTTGGGAAGTTTGTTCCATTAGTTTAATTGGCTTTACCTTCCAAAAAGATGGTTTCGCTCTGCACGTTGTATCAATTACGGTGATGCATTGGGGAATTTTCTCCAGTAAACTCCCTTCTTTAATCTATAAATAAACTTGAGTTTTTTTTTTTTAAAAAAGAGCCGAGTCTATGTCCGCTTCACGGGAACAAGCTGCATCTCTTCTGCAGTGTAGCTAAGAAAGCAAAAGTCCACTGTCTGACTGCGCGAGTGGCTGTCCGAGACCGGGGGAGAGAGGTCAGCGCCATTAATGCGAGATTGGTGTCAACGCACCGGCTCCAATTCGAAGCCAATCAGTCGATCGATCACGTTCTGGTGGGTGGCCAGCGTTCCAGCAAGTGGTAAGGCGTAATTGCGTTTGGGAGTACATATTTCTACCTTATCAACTGCAAATGGCTGCCTGACACGGCCAGGTACAGAAATTGGGAATCGGCCTCCAAAAGTAGCAACTGCGGGTTGTGTCCTACTCTATTGCAAATAAGTCAACTTTGTGGTTCAGTTTAATTTAACTTTGTGGTCTATTGCAAATATCTTGAGCATTCAATTTTTAAAATAGGTACAAAATAACTTCTCCGATGGTATTGGAGGTGATTTTCGTTGACGTGTATTTATTTACATGTTAAATTGACTTAGTTTTCATCATCTGACGTGGCATTACACCCCTTTCTTCCCCCCCCCCCTCTCTCTCTCTCTCTCTCTCTCTCCCCCCACCCATCCATCTCTTCCTCCCCGATCCCCAATCTTGCTCTCACCGCAATCCACGATGGTGGCATCAACGGCTCACATCCAGGGCGGAGCCTGGAGGATGTGGAGCTCCAAGGCGGCACGATGAGTCGTTTTGCTTGGTTTAATGGTGAGAGGGATTCCAAATTAGACTTTTTCCTCTATTGCTGCACGGTGAATGGTACTTGTACAGGCCCAGCAAAACAATCGTTGTTATGTCGGACTTCTTGACGTTTACCATTTCGGCCCATGCTGCACACAGTATAAGGACAGATAATTTTGTCATTCCAATTTTGTCCCACCCTATTTGGGAGCCCACGGTCCAATGAAAAGCCCCGGAAATTACAAGATTGCAGCCCATCCATCATCCAATTGGCCAGCTATATTGGCCCTTACACCGGTGGATCCGTACTACAGAAGCGTTAAAGCGCGTCCACCGAATCTGCCAACACTTACGTTTTCGCGACCGCGGCATATGCGCGCACTCGGAATCGTGGGCACGAAAGCGGAAATCCACTCGCCGTCGACGACCAAACCCAAACCCAACCCAACCCAACCCCCCATCATGCGCGCACAGTGAGATCGTGTCCGGCACCGGCCACCGCGTGCGCACCTCCGCACCCCGAGTCGAGTAAACAACACGAGACAAAACAAGCCCCACTGGGCAATGCAACGCAAATGCAACGGAAGGCAAGTTGTTCTTGTGGGCTGTGGCTCTTAATTCGATGGATGGCTAGCTGCTCAATGCGTCCCAAAAAGGGGAGAGAAAAAAGAAAGGAAAGCAAAAAAACTGTACATGTTAATGCGGTGTGTGTCACTTCCACTCCTGCGTGTCGCACGGGTAGCACCCTTCCTGCGCGACGTCGGCGATCTGCACGCCGGCGTCGTACACCCGTCCGGCCGTCCACCGCCGCGGCAGGACCTCGCCGTCGGCCCACACCCACTTCCCGTCGTACCCGCCGGTGACCACCACCCTGAACTGCAGCGGCCCCGCCGGCGCCTGCGCCGTGCTCCACGCCGGCCCGTAGTCCCGCGTCATGAACTTCCAGTTCGACGACCCGACCTGCACAAAAAAATGTTCGAACTCGTTTTCAAAAATTGCCTCGAATTCGAGTGAGAACGATCGATTTGGTTTTGGTTTTATTTGATTACCGTGGCGACGTCGACGGCGACGATGTCGGTTTGGCCACCCTGGTAGAGGAACCTGATGGACAGCTCGCGCGGCGGACGGCTCTTCTCCTCCACGCGTATCGACAGGTTGCGACCAGCTGCGTACTCGCACGGTACCCTGCTCGATAATATCGTACAAAATTCGGTCATAAATCCAGCCGAAAAATGCGTTGCGACCTGTACTACTACAGCTAACTGTGGCTAATCGCTGTGCTCCAATTATTACTCTATACTACGGATGATGAGCTACTAGCTTCCATCCATCATCACTACCTGAGTTGATTACACCACCGACACCAAAAGAGGATTTTTTTTTTTTACCTCTTGTACTCGACGTCAACGGCGCGGCGTGTTCTGAGCTGCGCGGCCATGCCGGGGCGGGCCATGGCGGCGTACGCGGCGGCGCTCAGCACGAGGTCGGTGCGGTTCGTCGACCGCGCCTCGTCCGTCACGACCACCTTGGCGCCCGCCGTGCTGCACAGCTTGCCGTCCTTGCACCGCACCTGCAGTAGTAATAATGCCACTTCCCCCGGTTAATCGAACCCAAATTCGCCTCAATTAGATTGCAGAACAGCACGCGATCACTGCATTGGAGAGTTTGTTCGTGGCTCTGTTAATACCTGGAAGCAGGCGCCGCAGCCGACACCGCCCCTGAACAGCGCCGGGCTCGCGGCGGCGAGGTGGCCGCCGTTGAAGGACGCGGCGAGGGAGCCGTACCCGCAAGAACCGGCTGCACGCACGCACAATCCAACAACCAAAATCAACCAAACAATCTTGCAGTAATCAACCAAGCAAAAACACACAAAGCGCGCACGCGAGTGGATGTCTCTGTCCCCCCCTCTCTCTCGCCGTACGTACCGTTCAGCGCGATCGACGAGTCGCGGAATCCGGCCTTGGACCGGCGCACGCACCTGTCGCAGCCGGAGACCATCGACGCCGACATGCCGACGACGACGAAGAAGAGGACAACGCTGGCGCTCGCCATGGAAGAGCAACACCGAACGGCCATGAATTCGATCGACGGAAGCTACGAAAACGTGCTCGCTCGAAAACTCTGAAACTGAAGTGGTTTACTTGGGAGAACAAGTCGAGGGGATGCTTACGCACAACGGCTTTGGCTTTATACCACCCCTACGCGGCTACACCACCACGCGGCAAGGCCTGCAGTTACTTTCACCTGTTTTGCCGCTCGTATCCCCCACAAAATACTTGGTGCTGTGCTGCCGCGGGTCGAGAGAGAGAGGCGGAAAGAAATGCAGAATGTTTTGGACACGCGACGCGCTCGGGAGGAAGACGGCGGCCGCCGACCTGTGCCGGATATAGAGGCTGGAGGACTCGCCACCGACTGCCTGGACACGCGTGCGACGCAGGGGGAGACAGCTCGCCCCACGTGGCAGTTACTAGTAGAGCTTTGTTCGTTAATTGCGTAATTGTGGTTTTATCCATTTGATAATCCTGCTGAGTCATCTTGATTATTAGTATTTGTTTTAACAGGGTAATTAATCTGGGTGAGTCATCGTTAGTGGATTTTTTTTTCTTTTTGGCCCTGGAAGGCTTATGCCTTCAAAAGGCGCTGGATTTGAGGGGAAAGAAAGGCAGGTGTGACATGGGATTGGGTGATTTGGATTTGATCATTTGAGGGGATAAGACCAGCTTAGCTTTTGCATGACGCGGATCGAGCCCATTCCAGTCATGTCACGTCCACCGTCCACGCCGTGCCGGCGGCGGCGTCAGTCGCGGGCTCGCCGCGCTGCGCCACCGCCGGGACAAAAATCTCTGTGTATTGATTACGTTTACATCGGTCTTGATCCAGACACGTCACTGTTCTGGTCCATCCAGGATAGCCGTTTCGGTTTGGATAACTACGACTCGCTCTTTGAATGGACAGATCGATGTGTTCATCGATTCAAACCAAAATAGTTTGAGTAGGCCATGGTTGTGAAAGGCGTGTGCTTACCAAACTTGGAGCGGCTTAAGATTAAGCTCGGTCCAAAAGATATCCGCATTTCCGTCGTTTTCTTCTCGATTCAGAATATATAGGAGTATCTGTTTATTCCATTTTGTGTCAGTGTAAGAGCTAATAAGGAACCGGATAGTCAAATATTGTATGTACAGATCATTTTCCCCCTCTTATAGCTCTTTATTTGGCATCCAGCTGATTAAAGAACAAGTTAGGCCGTTGCTTCATGTTCACCTGATGCCCAAGGCTTGTGCTTATGGATGACAATGACGTATTGAAATGGTTCCCAATCAACAATCATGCTAAAAGCCCATCATAACTGTAGGCCACTTGTGTATCTTAATGCGAAAATGACCAGACCTAACAGGGGCATACTACTAGCACCCCAACCTGAAATCCTTGTATAATTTAAATCAGAATCATCATTAATTATAGGGAGGAAAATAGAATTATTATAATCAAGTTAGATTGGAGTCTCATTCTCAATTGAATGGAAGGTAGGGTTCACAATCTCGATATCGAATCATCAGATTTCGCGGAATCATAATAAATTTTGTCGAAAAATTAATATGTAGTTTGATTTTCAAAAATTAATTAAAAAAATGAGTGGTTTGTGTTTCTGTCCCGGCCCGAAAAGTGTTTTCACTGGAATTGTATACTCTGATGGCAGCCGTCCTCTGCTGTTGTTTTGGGAAAAAAGGAAGTTCAGAATCCAGGGCAGAACACATGGACATATTCATTCGTCAGTAGAGTGTACTATGTGCTAAGCCAATTTCGGAATTTTACTGTGACCCTGTTTAGATTCTAAATTTTTTTTAAACTTTTAACTTTTCTGTCACATCAAAATTTACTACACACACAAACTTTCAACTTTTCCGTCACATCGTTCTAATTTCTTTAAACTTTCAATTTTGGCGTGGAACTAAACACCGCCATGTGCTAAACTTTGGCTCTCTAAGGGTGTGCTTAGTTCACGTCAAAATTAGAAGTTTAATTGAAATTAGAGTAAATTTCACAAAACTACAGGTATTTTGACCAAAATTATCACAAAACTACATATTTAAGGAGTTGTCTCACAAAACTACATATTTAGCACCAAATTTATCACAAAACTATAGATTTTAGATTAAGTATCATAAAAATGCATATTTAATATTGAACTTATCATAAAACTACAACTTTTGGAGTTTAAATCCCTAGCACCATTGTTATGGTGGAGCTATAAACATAATTACTTTGTGATTAAATTGATTCTAAACTTGTAGTTTTGTAGTAATTTAGTTACTAAATATGTAGTTTTGTGACACTTCATCTTAAATGTGTAGTTTTGTGATACACCGAGTTAAATCTGTAGTTTTGTGATAATTTGGTCATAGTATCTGTAGTTTTGTGAAATTTACTCTTGAAATTAAAACGATATGGCGGAAAAGTTGAAAGTTTATGTTTGTATGAAAGTTTTGATGTGATGGAAAAGTTAGAAGTTTGAAGAAAAAGTTAGAACTAAACCAGGCCCAGTTCTGACTTTTTTATGGCCTAAGTGCTAGTAATGAGAACGATTAATGGAGTCATACATGAGTGACCGTCAACCACTGCGTCGTAACGATATTTCTCATTTTTCCCGTTATTGACGATCTGCAGTTGTTCTTTGACTTGGGGCAACCAATCTTCTCAGCCTTCAAAAAAACAATCTCGTTGACGCCAAACAACGAACCATCCTTTGCCTTGGCTAGCATTTGAATCGGACACAATCAACGGAGGACATGCCATAGTATAGGTATTGGTACTGGTAGGTAGCAGATGGGGCGCACACCCATCCTTGAAGTTGAATGATCGTTGATCCTTTTTTGGCTTGGAGCTGTTGGTTTGGCTTAACTTGGTCACACCGCGCCCACCGCACCGCACCGGGCGCCTCAGCTCCGCTCCCAGTCTCCCACCCGCCCGTGAGCGGCTGCCGCGGCGCGCGTGTGGTTTCCGCGAGCGTTTTTCTCTGGGCGCGGTGGCGAACCGCATGCGCCACAGCGTGTCAAGCGCTGGCTTCGTGGACGCGCGCGCCATGTCGCACGTATCTCTGCAGTTGGGGGGCATGGACAGAGACGGCAAGATGCAGAGCAATGTAGACATGTAGTGTAAGCTAAGGCTTTTTCTTTGACAACAATCACTATAAAGAAATGAACACAAATGTAGGAAAATAATAATAGGGACGTGGCTTCTGAGGTTTGGAAGAAACTCAACATCTATGAACTGGCAACTCAAAGCACAGACATTCTCCACTTTGTTGAGCAAGTCCTGACAGTTACGCCCTCACATCTCAAACCTGGATGGCCAATATGCTTTGGCGCCTGCGCACACAACTTATGGAAAGCACGCAACCATAGAACATTCCAGCAGCGAGATCTTACCACGGCAAATGTGACACATCAAATCAGAGAATGTCTACAATTATAGGGAAATCACATCAAGCCGCAATGTCGACCTCCAATATGCAGATGGATAGACTTACTAGCGTAGCTAGCTTTTCTAGTTCTTCCGTGCTTTCTCCTGTTTTTTGTATTTCTTCTTCTTCTTCTTCTTCTTTCTCCTTCTTATTTTCTCTTCTTCTTCTTCTTCTTTTCTCCTTATTTTCTCTTCTTCCTCCCTCTTTATCCGGTTCTTTTGTATCTCTTTATGTAACACCTTGACTACCATTAATATAATGGTTATAAGGTAGAGTCTCTCTACCTTTTTCAGTCAAAAAAAAATAATAATAGGGATGTCATCCTTTTCCATATTGCTTATAAGAGTATGTATGTGTAGCAGATAAAAGGAAAGACACGTGATAGAAAAAGATGTGAAGTCCTATTAGAAAACTAATAAAAATATATTGTAGGTCTAAATTCCGATCATATTTAACAATTAAAAATCCGAACCGCTGCATAATGTAAGCTAAGGCTAACACTGCTAAGCTCTGTGTTGCTTATGTGTTCTTCCGGTTGACAAACTAAACTGAACTCTGTTTTTCTTCTGTTAAACGTAAACTGAACTTTTTTAGAGAGAGGTACAAAAACTCTTTTTTTTTTCTGGTGCGCAAACATCAGGCACTGGGCCAAGCGCCGAAGGCATGTAAATTGGCAAGTCTAAAGGATAAGGCCTACTATAGTCCAGTCCAGGAGGTCTTGCTGGCCCATAAACAAGCGGGGACTTTGGTATTGGGCTGTTATTGGAATTTTTTGGCCCAATGGACTTGGACAATTCTATCTGTAATTGGGCCATAAAGTGAGTTCATTTAACGTTTTGATCCATGTTTTATGCCTGATTTCCACTTTGTTTTGTTGTTTCTCATGCAAGTTTTGATTCCGCACCGATATTCAGTTTTGCTGAGACATATGGCATTTAATAAAATGCAACTACCAACTCCCATCCTACACATGCGTCATGCGTTTCCAACGTGCCTTGGGGCATTCCCTCGGGACAACATTGTTCACAAACTACAATTCTTTACCCTGTCACCGATGAAAAATATTTCAGCTACATAAAAAAAAAGTCGCACTCCAGTAAACTATGAAAATAGCCTCACTAGCATCGTCACACACTATTGTTATAAAAAAAAAGAGTAGCATCTTTCGCAACGCGGATAATTTTATATAGATAGAAAAATATCACATCACATGTACTAAATTTTATGAAAGAAATATATTTAGTACAACAATTTTGTCCGTATCATGTTTGACAAAACGGTTTCTCTCGACAGGGATGACAACCACAACAAACCACCCACTTGAACACTTGCTCAAGCTATATTAGAAGTAGACTCAACAGCATAACCGTTAAAAAGAGTTGTTTGATCAGTGTCTCGATCGGACGATCCAGATCAAGACTCAAGAGCCACAGTGCATATTCCACTGGTAATATTCGCATATATATATATATATATATATATATATATATATATATATATATATATATATATATATATATATATATATATATATATATATATATATATATATAAAACACAAATTCTGACCCCTCAAAATCCCGAAGACATGTTTACTCAAAAAGGAAAGCGTAGGAGGAAGCTTCCCTGTAGCGCACGCCTAGAACCTTCTCCCCGCGCCCCGCCCCCACACCGACCTGGACTCACTGGCCGCGTCGGTCCACGCGTGGCCCCACCGCTCAGTGACACACTCCACCCACACCCGCACGCAACGCATCTCCGCCGTCCATCGCATCCACCCCGCGTCGCTCCCCGCCGTTAAAAAGTCTCCGCCTCGCAGCCGATTCCTTCCTTCTCCTTCCTCCTCTTCTTCCCCTCTCCCGAAGAAAGAAAAAAAAGGAAAAAAGAAAAGAA